AGTTTATTATTAGTACCTATGTATTATGTATTACCAGTTAAATAGTAAAATAAATACATATAATGATAAATTAACTGTGGATTATTTCATTTACGTTGCGTTACGTGGCTTCCATGTGGGTAGCTCGCTGTTTATTCCAAAATTAACAAAGTAGCTCAACACATTGAAGAGGTTGGCGACCACTGGTCTAGCTGAATCAATAATGACTTATTGTATTGACGCATGGGGTGGCATGTTCAGTAATTCTCTAAATCGACTACAGACAACCCAAAATACATGTTGAAAATTTTATTTGAAGAAAATAGACTACTTTCTTCAGAAAAACTATATACAGATTGAAAAATGTCCGATGTGCATATACTTATCTTTGCCTAACCTAGATTTTCATCACACCCTAGATCTGAATTGAGATCAGTACGGAGTCTTTTACTCAAGTTGACTCTCTTCATAAACCTCACACTCAAAGGTTTCTGTTTCATTATTGTCCAATGTTATATATAATATTCTACCTATCATAAAAAACTGGGTGCAGTCAAAATTAATATTAGGAATTTAATTTTTGATAATAAAACTTTAATAGTTGTCATCTGCAGCTGATTTTTGGTGGTGTATTTGCTTTCTCGCATCCAAACTATTTTTTATGGTAAACACGAAGTAGTGAATCAATTGAGTTCGCATGATGTTTTCAATTGTCAGTCAGAGGAACAGAATAATCACAGCACAAGCTAGGGTGAATTCCGAGCCGCTGGCTGACAATATTCCTCTAACAATGTACTCGATTGCTGTAAATATTCATTTTGTTTTTGTTGAATAAAGAAAGAAATAAAGAAAAAGAAAGAAATCATGTTAATGAATTTCAAACCATGTCCCGCTCATGGCAGCAATCAAGCAACTTTGCGTCTCGAACAGAAATTCCGCAACAATCTCCTCAAATTTGAATGAGATTACTGCGCAAAGTTCACACATAAAAAGTTGGTGTTAGACCGTTTTGCTTTCCACTTCAAAGCCTAACCGTGCCGCGTGTCAATTAGATTTGTGAAAACTAAAGTTTCATCCCGACGCTTCAAAAGCACACCTCAACAGCCCGGCACAGTTTTTGTTTTATCGGAAAATCGCGTGGTTTGTTCTTTTTCCGAATCCCTTATGGCTACCAGTGGCGTAGGGGAGGCAGTGAATGGAGTGGATATAGAAATACAAGAGAAATTAATGACAAATCAAAATGAAGGAAGTTTCGTGTTATTATTCTCTATCCAAAATTCTTTCCATGTAATTTTTGTGGAAAAAGTGTTGTGAAAATGAATTACATTCAAGAATTCATCCGTTAACTCACACTAGTGTTCAAAATTTCATTGTTCTGCTTCCATACAGTTGAATGAAACTTAATGATACTTGATGAAAATTCATATTCAGACTCCCCTAAACTGTTATTTCCATTATGGTATAGTGTAACGTTGTGATACACTTAGTTGGTCTTCTATGGCTGATCGGTCTACCAAAAAGTATCGTTTTTGTACTGTTTCAATGTGCCCCCAAGAAAAATTTTGAAGTATATAATTCATATGATCAAGAAGCCATCTTGACTGCATTTTATCGTCATATCCAATGACATCAAATCATCTGTAGTTTGATTGATTAGGTATATTTTGTGAGTAATGTGGAAGAACACCGTCTAGCTGAAACATTATTTCCTCTTCAATATATGCAGGACCATTCTTTGAGATATTTGTAAGAGCTGAGTCGATATCGTTTTGGATTTACTTGTGAAGTAGATCCAGGTACGAATCACCAGTTGAATTTCCAGTAGAATTTTCAGAGATACCAGATACACGTACCTACACCATTCAATAAGAAAATACAGCCATACGAGAAAACATAAATCAAATTCATTTAGTTCTTGCACTGCCCGAAACCTATGGGGATTGATATTTGCCGGCCACAATAGCTAATGTTTTTGTTCTAACCCTACTATTTAATGCAAGGTTGGGCTTTATTTTAGCCGAAGTGTGACATATCAGGGGACTCTATTCGACGAGCTGAGTCATATGACATATGTCACAAGAGGCGCATGCGCAGAGCAAAACTGTTATAAAGCTTCGATGTTCCTATTATAAGTTCCTATTATAAGAAGTGCGAAAAAGAAAACATAAAGAGGCCTAACTTTTAAAATCATAAGACACATTAACGAATAACATCAAATATCGTTACATACAGCCAACCTTTTCTAACCTAACATATATAGGTAATGTTATCCTAGGCGCAATATGGGGAGAGTCTGGTCCAGGTTAGACGCTCCTCCGTAGACTCATAATGGGAATTTCAAAGTTTCAGCTCGTCGAGTAGAGTCCACAGGATGATATCCTAGGACTCTTCCGCTAAAGTAAAGCCTGTTCTTGAACCATTTCAGTTTAACGAAGATCTCCTACCAATTCGCAAAAATGTTCTCAAAAAAAAATGTCTGCCAGAATGCCCTTAATTGGAAGTGAAGCAACTACGAGTGTTCCATTGCCTATTCTTTGGAGGACGTCCTCACGTTAATGAGTGGGAAAGAGACATATGTGACGTAATCGATACATAGAAGGACAAAATGAGTATCGTGGAGATTCAGTTGAAAGATAACAGGTTGTTTGAATTATAAAAATAATGGTATAATAATAATGAAGAATAAAAAATCACATTGAAAAAAACATGACTGCTATCGAGGTTCACAGGGTGTGTACAGTGTTAAACAAAAAAAACATGGCTGCTAACATAAAAGAAAAAAACATGGCGCCAATGTGTGTACAAGGTGTGACAAAATACATCAATTGAGAAAAAACATGACAGTTCAATGGGACCCTAACATTTCAACGTGCGAAAAATAAAACATTTCGAAACGTGCATTTTTATTTTGGTAACATATCACAAAGCCATTTGTATAGAATATCTGCGTTTCGGAGACTGCAATTATATTTGGTTCAGTTGTGAATGTGATGCATACAAGGTTCGCTGCACACACACTGTATACCTCGATAGCAGCTATGTTTTTTTACGTTAGCAACTGTCATTTTTCTTCAACGCTGCACACCCTATATACTCCACTGAATACCCGCAACTATTTTTTTTCTTCAATATGATTTTTCATCCATCATTATTATTAAACACTATTTTCATAATTCAACCACGCTGTTATCTTTCAACTGAATCTCCGATACTCATTCTTTCCTTTAATGCATCGATTACGTCGCACATGTCTCTTTTCCACTTACTAACGTGACGACGTATCTCAGGTAATACGTGGAACTCTCGTAGTTGCTCTACCATTGAAGAGCCTCACGACTCGAATCAAAGTTCAGAACTGATAAAATTGAAAAAAAAATAAAGAATTATTTTACAAACTCTTCACACAATCCACAAGATTATGCCTATCTGATTTTTTTTGGCAAAAAAAATACAATACTCGATGAACTGAACGGCAAAAATGCAAATTGTTTCTAAATAATTTATCTTTGGTATGTAGGTCGAGCAGTTACAGGCACGAAATCGAAAACACTTTTCAAAAGAGTATCATTCACTCTTCATTCCCAAGTAGAAAAATTTGGGAAACGGCAACCGCCCTCATAGCGATACTAAGTAGTAATTTGTTCCCCTCACAGGCAATTCCGAATTCCAAAACATTTCAAATAACCCACTCTGTATTATTAGTTTTCAAAAATTCACCTACTCTTACGTTTTTTCTCGTGGGTTCACCAATAATTGACTACACTGAACAATAATCAAACTAACTTTATTTCACTGTTAATACAACAAAACACTAAAACAAAACTAAAACTTCAACTATTATTCAAATGTCAATCGCCTTATAAGACCCCTCTGTATTTGACTGTCCACTAAACTTGACCACTTGACTATCTCAATATGCTGGTAGGTAGTGTTCATTATACGATGATTGAATTATCTCGACTTTGATAGAGAATTCGGATGAATTACATCGAAACGGTACGAAATGTCGGCCGGGCTGGGCGCAGTCTTGGCAACGTCACAATTGATTTATGGCTACCAGCGGCGGTCGACATTATTTTCTTTAGGGTATGATTTACAACAATACTTTGATGTTTCAGGTGAGGTTGGTAAAGAAATGTACATAGTGAACCGAGGTCGCCTTCAAGTAGTCGCCGACAATGGCAGGACCGTCCTGGCCACTCTGAAAGCAGGCAGCTATTTCGGAGAAATTTCGATATTGAACATGGGCACGGCAGGTAAACACCTTGGTAAATATCAGCAGGCAGGCCCCAGGACGCTGGGTTTTCATATATTATTACTATATATTCCACATTCTGCATGTAGAATTTGTCTTGGTATCTCCTGCCTGGCTTGTATTTGTCCAACCCCTTTTGCTGATAAAGTTTCAGAAAGAATCTACAAAAATAAATTAATGAACTTGTTTTTTTCCACAAAATACAGTTATTAAATTTCAGATGATTGAGAGTGTGAAAAAGATAAAATACCGCATTCGAATAGAGCTTTCAAAGATAGTATCAATGTGAATCGAGAGAAATTTTTTACTTAGTATAGAAAAAAGTAATATCAAAAATGAATTTTTGAGAAATCACACGTACTAAAAATATCATTCAAAAACTGCTGAATATGGTTAATTCCACGAAACAATTCGTTAACGAATTACAGTAAACGGAAAAGATTTTTCCGACTAATCAGTCTTTCAAATTGCAAACAAAATTTTGCGAATTTAACTTGATGCACATGTTGATCAGAAGAATGTATTTATTTGGGTTCCAGATTGTGAACCAGAATGACCTTGTGCTATCGGTTATCGATATTGACAATATCTGGTTTTCTCAAATTCCATTGTCAATTAATTTCAATACATTTTGAATACACCAGAATAATATTTGGACTGAAAAATACCACGACAACATTTGATATGATATTCTTTCAGTAACACAAATGCCATTTGCTCTTTCGAAATTATATATGCTGGTCAACAGTTTGCGATATTCTTCTTGATTTAGACAAGATGCTCACACCAACTCTATTGTAATGACTGATAAAATTAAGAATTTTCATGAAAATTAGTCAACCGATATTCGAACTGTTAAATTTATTTTGTTGTTTCAAAAGTTTCGTATCTTTTTGTGAGTCTACTATTACCTGGTATATATCATTCGGACCTCTTCTGTTGAGCAGTGCTAGCTGCTGCCAGCGGTACATTTTATCGATTTCCTCACAATAGAACTCTGTTATGATCGTTTAGCTCTATTGCAGGAAGTTAAAATGAATCACACCAGCCGCTGACCACCATACAGTTATCATGGTCTTTTTTGGTGGGTCTTCGCCTTCCAGAAATGCAAGGGTGGCTCATCGGTGTCGAACCACCGTCCTGAATGACTCCGGTTGCCGTAGAGGTGTTGTGACAATCCTCAGATTCTAGTCTTAGATTACTGTAGGTGGACCACTTCGGGGCTCATCATTTGGAAAACAACAGCATCAATATATACAGTAAAATCCCTTAGCGTTCAGTATATACCACGACACAGTAGAATAAATATTCATTGAGATATAGAGCTACAAAATACATAACATCAAAACTGACAAAACTTTTGAAACAATCTAATATGATGAACACAAAACTATAGAAATTCAGTAGAAAAGGTAAAAAAGAAGTGTAAATCAGCTTTTCAAACTTACACAGCAACTTGAAACAAAAGTTGCGCAAGAACCTCACATATTTAGTTCAATGAAAAACTATCAGAATGGCAAATGAGCAACATCCTATGGCACAGATCAGTTGATAATAAATCATAGAATCGTTGCGCAGAGGCGAAATCGTAACCGATGAGGTTTATCCGAGGTGAGATTATTGCTAGTTGACTACAAAAACCAACGGCAACCAGACCAATAGGTACACGCATAAGAGAGTAACGTATCATCCCAGATTCAAAAGTGTTCACGCTCGCTTTTCCGGAGTTGCCACCATGGAAACTAGCTGATATGCATTGCAATGTTTCGGGAAGTGGAATGAAAAAGTCAGAATTGAACTCACAACGACACAAACTAAACTACTACAATAATATCAGTAAATTTCCTAAATAATGCAAAATATATACTGATGGATCAAAGACCGAGTATGGGGTGGATGGTGCATTCCTTGTAGATGGACACCTCCATAGCTGGTCGATGCACTCAACGACCAGCGTATACACAGCAGAATTATACACTATAGACCAGTCTTCACTATTCAATGAATTTGCACGACACAAAACTCATTTCCTAATTTGTACCGACTCGTTGGGTTCCATAAGATTATCTCAAAATGAATTCACTCTTGACCCCCTTGTAAGGATTATTCTTGCCAGAATTCATATTATGATGGAAAGCGGTAGAACTGTCAGCTTCATGTGGGTGCCTAGTCATTGTGGCATAAAGAACAACCGAAGAAGAATCTGACTGGCAGACTCTTTGAAATGAAACTGACGCGAAACTGAAATGCTCAAAACCAAGTGTGAATAAGCGAATCTCACTATTGAAATCCGCCAGAAAAGAACAAGTTGTTCTCACACGTCTGCGAATCGGCCATACAAAAATTACACACCTTTACTTGCTTCTAGGAGAACAACAACAGTACTAACAGTATAACATATATACTTGTAGAATGCCCAGAATATGAGAAAACCAGGAGACAACATAACATAACTGGAGCAATGAAAGAAATTATATGTGATGATAGACGAACGTTGAGAAACCTGATAGCAATTTTGAAAGCCGCAAATATAGTAAGTACGCGGCGAATAACCTAACAGTTGATGCCGCAAAAAAAATAAACGAATAAATAATAGAAAAAATTGACAAATTTTACAGTTTTTCTGAACAATGTGTAGTTTACTAGATTTTCTGAAGCAAGAGCACATCACTTGCCCCACCAATGAACATTTTAGTTAAATAATATATTGTATGGGCCGATGTTGAACTGGCAGGTTATCCGGAAAAATCTAAATATACTTTCAAAACGTAATTCAAATCAAAATATACTTTTAGGCGGAAAACTTTAATGCAACGTGACTTGTTAACAAGAACACGATTGTTCTATACAAAGAACTTAAATTACTGTTCAATATCGTGCAAAATATGCAATATGTATTTGAGTTTCATCAACTTCCACATGAATTGACAATAAACAGGTTCTACAACAAATACCGATATTATTTGCTTCCACTTTATAATTGGTGAGGTTTTCTGCAATAATAAAAAACCATGTTTAAAGTTTCACGACTAAACGAAATTAAATTGAATTATTAATACGAAATCTCTAATATTCATGTAAATTATCATTATGGTAGTGTTTGGAGTTCCGTTGTTACCCTCGTAATATAGTGTCGTGTCCAGATATAATTTTATTCGATTTTACCAGTGTTCTTTTGTGCCTATTATGACCCCATGTATTTACTATCTTTTGTATACATTTATTGATTATTCAGCATGCTCTATGCTAATTTTTAGAAATTATTCACAATATAACAACACTTCCAAACATGAATGTCAAGAATGAAGTTAATTTCAAGCGTATCAAGAATACGAATTCAGTTACAGCAATTCACTTCCTCAACCAGTCCGGAATGAACTGATGGCTCAAATAACAACCTGTGGGTTCACATGATTTACAATTACAAATCAGAACATAACTTATCTCTCTTCTTCTTTTGTAGTTTAGTTATACATATACTCAAAAATGATGTAGTATATATCCCATATTTTGTTGCCGAAATGTGAATAATAACGAATGAGTTCAAAAAGCAAAAGTCCCAACTCATAGACATTCATGCTTGACTTAAACCTAGCAGTTAGAAATTAAAATGAGAAACATATTCGAATCGACAACAACTGAATGACACANAATATAACTTTGAGAGAACTACATAATTAAAGAAATCATCAGATAAAGCCATTTGTACTTGGAAAAGAAAAATAGTTCACAGATGAATATTTTTTAAGGGATCCCAGAGGAAGTCACATTAAGACTTCTTCTGCTTATCATTCACATAAACTCTATTTCGAAATTCAATTAGCTGTTTGTAATGCAATGATGATATACATCTTTTGGGATCAATAGTTCATTCAATAACAGAAGAAAACTGATTGAGAACTAATATATATATTTGCTTTAGCGTGTATGGAATAATACATATTTACAAATTGATGAAACTTCGTCATGGATTTTCAACAGATTCTAAAAAAGCTAGCGTCAAATATAAAGATATAATATACAGGCAAACATTATAGTTCTCTGAAGCTCTATTTCAGTTTTCACTGATTCACCACAATTACAGTAATTTCTTCATCTACAATTCTGAAAATATCATCACGATGTTTTTAACCAATTGAGAACTATATACATTATACAACCCAACGCGTTTCCTCGACATCAAATCAAATTATCAGCTGAAAATATGTACTTTTTTGTAGTTGACCGTGAAGAATAAAACAAACTTTGATTTCCCCACAATAGGACTCTGTTATGATGGTTTGGCCTGGTTGCGGAAAGTTATAGTGAAATACGCCAGCCGCTAACCACACACTGACACATGAAAGAGTTCTCAAACAGTGGAGTTCGAGGTGTATTGAGTTGAATCTCGAAATGATGAGCAGCCGCAGTCAGTCGCGTATTTCTGATATGTACCACTCTTGGTGGAATCAAGTCACTTGAACACTTTCCGTGAAAGTATCTATAGAAAAAAGACAAATCTCTAACCTTTCTTCGATGTTCCAGGCTATGTGAGTTGCACGTGATATTCGCGTCTCGAATCAGGCGGATGGCTCTTTTCTGGATGGAATCCAGCAACTTCAGGGTATGTTTGGGAGCTCCATACATGAGAACAATACTTCCAAGAAGGTCTGATCTGAGCTTTATAAAGCATCAAAAGTAGCTGAGGTGTGTACAGTTTTCTCATTTGGAACAGTGTTCCAAGCTTTTAAGAAGTAGCCTTTGCAGTTTCAGCGAGATGATTGTGCCAAGACATATTGGTGTCCATTTTAACCCCCAACAAACTTATCGAAGCAGAAAGCGGAATTGTCTGACCTGACATTATTATGTCCGGTTCGGATAAATGTATTTATTTTCTTGGAGAAAACTGATGCATGGGTTTTTGTGGCATTGAATTGAACCTGGTTACTTTCACCTCAATTCGAAATCACTTCTAGATCCTCATAAACATATGCAACCTCCTGCTGCCGGTGAAGATGTGCCCCCGTAGCCGATGTTCTGGAATCCAAATGGGATGATGAGGCAAGTGTGCTGTCGTCAGCGAAGCAATATATTGGATCCTTGGTTTTTTCCAATAAGTCGTCGATAAACAATGAAAAGAATGTTGAAGACAATATAGATCCCTGGTGAACACCAGCCTTGATGGTGAAAGTATTCGAGAGATATCCATCGACGGCCACTTGCATGAAACCTTCTTTCAGAAAGCTGAAGAGCCATACACAAAAATGATCCGACAAGCCATACCATCGAAGTTTGGCCAGCAAACCCTCATGTACATACAGTCAAAGGCCTTAGAAATATCAATCGCAACAGCTCTTCTCTATGTTTATCGATTGCGTTATTCCAAAAATGGGTGACATACGATAGGAGGTCGCCTGTTGATCTTTGTTTCCGAAAGCCATATTGATGATGGCTCAAGATGTTGAAGCCTTCCAAATATTTGAGTATATGGTGGTTCACAACTCTCTCCATGAGTTTTGGTATCACTTATCGTAAAGCGACTGGTCTATAGTTATTTGGGAGATTTTTTTTGCCCTTTTTGGGAATAGACTGAACTCGAGCAATCTTCCATCAAGACAGGAAGACAGGTTTCTTACAAGACAGGTTGAAAAGTCTGCAAACAGTAACAATGGCTTATCACTTCTCACTGGTCACTTATCAGGACCACTGTCCTGAACGTCCCCTGTGTTCGTAGAGAATCCACTTTCCATCACATGTGGTGATCCGATTCAAAAAAAGATCGCTTTGGTTGCGCAAAAGCAAAGAAGAACAAACCAGGAAGCATGACTGACTATTTCTGTCGTTTGTTCAACTCGAGAGGCCTTTCAACCTTTCCAAAACATTTCAAACCATCGAAATGCGCATGGGAGCTGGCACCCTGTTCTACCGCAATCCCAGACACCGTTTATGATCAATCAGTCTTCACCAGGGTCCTAAAATCCTCATTCTGGTCGACTGTGGGTCGACCTCTTCGGGGCTCATCTTCGAGACTAATCTCCGAAACGAAATTTCACAAAACAACTTCGAATAATGCGTTCATTGACACTATCATTGCCAAATGCCTTGTTAATGTATCAGGCTGTTTCGACAGCGATTTGGTTCAATTTGTTCAATTTCCCTTGAAACAATCAAAGTTTGTATCAACTTTCGTGGGCTGTAGCCATATTGGAGTATATCAATAAAAAATAAACAGGCCTGATTAGTAGAAGAAATGTTAGGAGATGAATTATATTATTGAGAAAGTGGTTAACAAAATACAAAAGCATTCATTAATGATATTTATGAAAACTTTCATTTTCACTCATATCAGTTTTTCCTAAACAGCTAGTTGGGTACTCTATATTCCATTAATTCGAAATTGCATTGTTTAATATGTTATGAAATAATTTGAAATCTCTGGAAACACAAATACAATCGAAAATTAAAATGAATAGCTGAAAATAACAATTTTATTGAGCAAAAAAAATCTGAAATGCAAAAAATTGAAAATTGAACAGTTAAACAAAAAAGGAAATAAAAATTAAAAGATTTCCAGTCACGTTAATTTACCACGTTTCGATTGCTAGTATCCACAATCGTCTTCAGGTGATGACTGGACTATTCCTCCGAGATATGACTATTTACAGGTCAT